AGAGTTTATGACGGAAGAAACAAGGAATGATATAATCTGTTTAGAGCTAGCCTAGCAAGGAGGAGTTGAAGCTCAAATGAAAGATGATATTAAACTTTTTAAGCCTATTTTAGAATGTTTTTGTTAAAGATCTATACCCTGTAATAACAATAACAATAACAGTTAGACTTATATACCGCTTCATAGGGCTTTCAGCCCTCTCTAAGCAGTTTACAGAGTCAGCATTTGCCCCCACAGTCTGGGTCCTCATTTCACCCACCTTGGAAGGATGGAAGGCTGAGTCAACCCTGAGCCGGTGAGATTTGAACCGCCAAGCTGCAGATAACAGTCAGCTGAAGTGGCTGCAGTACAGCACTCTAACCACTGCGCCACCTTGGCTCATGTATCGGTTCTGGGAAGTTGAGGGAGGGGGGAAGAGGGGGAGGGAAGTAAATATTTGTAAAAGGTTATCTTTTTCAAAATTTTCATTAAAAAAAAAAGATGGTTGGAATCAAAATATATTAATTTGAAGCCAATTATTAGTAACTCCCCAAGTAAAACCATTTCTGCCTTTATTATATTCAGAAGGACATCCTGGGCACAACTTCTAGAGAAGGTCTGAGGGCCACCCTTGGATTTGGGAAAGGCTGATCTGGGGCCACAGTTGCGTACATTTTTATATATATATAGTGGTTCTTCACCTGTACAATTTGGGCAAGGAAGATGCCCAGACTTACAGGAGGAGTAGCAAAATCTCTGGATTTCTCCAGGACTCCAGTGTGTTCTCAGCATCCAGGAAGGATGGCAGAAAGCAATTAGGGACACAGCTTGTCATTAACACCAAAGCATCTTTTGAGTGCCACAAGGAGGAAAACATCCAAGGAACACCCCCTCGGAGTTCCAGAGGATCTGAAGAAGGGGTGGAGAGCAATTAATCCTCTCTCTCTTTGTTTGCGACTTTGCACCTCGGAGCAATTCACGGAGGGGGGACTTCGCAAGAGGGACCAACTGGCTCTTCAAATTCACCCATGCGTTGCTGCCCGCAGAGAGTTTTTGGCCCATAAACCACAATCCCTGGATCTGGAAACTCCCCAGCGTAATATTAGCTGTTGAGGGATTGTAACTGAGATACAATTCACCTACTCCCGAGGTTGTTCTCGGTGGTAGACGGTTGATTCTGTCTTTCTCCCTTCTCCTCTCTTCTCAGATCTACAGATATTACTCCCTGCTTTCCTACCTGCCGATCATTCTGTGCCTCGCCATGCTGAGTCTTTGGTACCCTCTGAAACTGGTTGAGAGCTTCAAAGGGGACGCCAAGATGGCGGCCGAGAAGGTAACCGATCTTGATCTTGCCCTCTCCAGCTCAAAAGGAGGCGACAATAAGCCACAATGAGAAAAGACACAGACACACACACATACACACGGCTTTCAATTTCCCCAACTGACCTAGTAGATTGTTTCCCCATTCTTAAATATTATTTTATATTGGTAGTCCTTGACTCACAAGCATTTGTTTAGAGGCCATTCAACCTTACAACGTCACTGAAAAATACTGACGTACAACGGGTTTTCACGTCAAATTGTCACTAAACAGATGGCTGCAAATGAAAAACTACCTGTAAGACAGTGGTGGGTTTCAAAAATTGTTCGAACCTACTCTGTGGGTGTGGCCTCCTTTGTGGGAGTGGCTTGCTGCCCATGTGACCAGATGGGAGTG